TTCCGTTTTGATTCCCTTTTGCTCCCTCCCGACTGTCTATCACATTGTCTTGCCATGGATTCTCCAGAAAGTGTAACGAGATTTCTCGAGAGTCTTGAAGATCTGATTCTTCTCTTCGAGGACCAAGATCCCAACCCTTTAAGCGGTCGGCAGGAGCGACAATTGCTTGCATGGAACGCTCTTCTCAAAGAAGAAGGTCCAGTCAAGAGATCCAGAACCCGCACACATGTTCGAATGCATGCGCGCAAAACTGCCTTTAAGGTTAAGAACACAGCTGGATTCGAGACAGTTCTACTTTACATGCTCAGATACTCCATCTCGAGTGTGCCCAAAATAACTTATCATGGGTTCTATCACGGGCTGCAAAAATGGTCATGTAGGACGAATTTTCCAAACTCACTCGAGGAGAAAGCATCCCAATTCTGGGCAGAGTCTTCTCCTTGTCCGGGACATGCTTTGCCAAACAAACAGGTACCTCTGCATTATGAACCCCAAATGCAGCAACAATTAGACGCGGGAGATGTTTCTCCGGCGAAAACAAGTCCGGATGCACTGATTCCCCTGACTTCTTGTATGGAAGCAACCCCAGATATGGCAAGACAAGATACTGACCTTGAAAGTAGTTGTTTCAAAAGCCGACCAAACCACAAACCATCGTGTCTCAAACGATCGACTCATTGCCGAACAACAAAATGGTGCTCGCTTCCATTATGAGTCCGCTTATAGCGGAGGCTCGGCAACTACGTACAACAGAACCAAATCACAAATGGGAGGACAAAGAGGAATCGAGGTAGCTTTCGACGTGCCTTCAAACATTTTGAATACCTTCGTTGAGCTACACAAAAGATCTGAACATTCCCAAGGACACTCGGCAATCCTCACGATTCCCACGCAGCAAGACCGTGTTGCATCACTGGTGCTGTCAATTTCGCGGTCCGAAGCAGTGGCGAATGGTGGAAAGTACGACTTGACCGAGATATTCAACGCCGGCTTTCCTTCTAGTTCTGCAGAGCATGACTTGCCAGAGATGTTCAACTCTGGTTCTCCCTCTGCTTGATAAATTTCACATCAACCACCATTGCTTCGAATGCACAATCTTTTGGAACTTTGCCTATGAATGTGTCCCTCGAATCATATACGTCCCAAAGTTTCGCGGTGGTCCCAGCTTGGTACACCCGAATACATCCAAGAAGGTCCCGTGATAGATGTGGGCGAAAAACGATAAGACGATTAGTCGGATGGCCAGGTATTATTTTCAGCGTATAAGAAGTCCAAGTCTGGTCGACTTCGAATAGGGATACTTGGAGCTGCCCGTCTAGCTGGATGCCGCTCCTATTAGTTTCAAATGTCTTCCAACAAAGAAAAAGAGTAGCAGACCTCTTTGACTTTTCCCAAAATCTCTTCATCCCCGTCTGTATCTAGCTGTATTCTCGAATAATATTCATTTGTCGTCATCATGGATGTCTTGGGCGATTCAACCAACCCCTGGAAAAACATCGACTGTCGGGAATTCGTGGTAGAGGTTTCGCACTGCGCCAGGCGTTCGATGAGATTGAAAAGCGACGGATTGAACAATATTGTGGAAATAGATATGATGAGTAGATCCAGAATATTAGCGGCTCGAACGGGTTCTCGGGAGTAGCTGTGAATGCCCAACCTCCGTCAACGTGTCGACTGGTGGGCACACGGCCGCTGACTTTTCGTAGTGGGGCAGACATCCCATCCCCACGTGACTATGGCATCCAAGATGATAAAAACGTTCTATCGCAATTGGAAAGCGGCAGGTAGGTTTAGTAGTAATTCGACAAGACCATAGCATAAGTTGCTCCATTCACAAAAGATTGATAAGGAAGCAAAATGTTTCGACAGAAAACAAAGTTAGATAATACTTCAGAAAATGCTTCGGAATTAGAGCTCGGCACCGACCGCGGTCAAACCGCTGCGGTGCGTTTAGGTAACCACGAAAACGCGGTTAAGGTTTGGAATTTTCTTAATGGCGATCGGTTGGGCCACGTTCAGAAACCGCACTTGGGTACTGCGGTTAGGCAGTAGTTTAGCAAACAGGCCAAATAGCTGAGAGCCTATCATTACTTATTTTATAGACCACGTCTTCGTTATAGGACCACGTCTTCGTTATAGAATATGATAAATTTATATTCCTAGATCTAGATTCCACATCTACAATCAACTTAAGCAGGATTGCCTCGGCTTGATATAATTCTCACCAACTGCCATGCTAGACCTTGCAATCCAAAAAAAGGTTGTAGAGATGGGTTCAAATTGATATTTGGAGCACTTTTATGCGGTTTGCCCGTTTCTCCGCGGTTGACCCTTTGTGGCGAGGTCTATTCAGAATCAGCCACCTCTATATTTAAGTTTCCTGGATCTGGATGTCTCTGTTATTCAGTCGCTTTAGATAAATGTACGGAGAGAAGACAAGTCAGACCTGTCAGAACAGGACCGGGCGAAACAGAAGGGTACGAAACAAAAGCGGAACGAAACAAAAGCGGAACGAAACAAAAGCGGAACGAAACAAAAGCGGACCGAAACAAAAGCGGACCGAAACAAAAGAGGAACGAAACAAAGGAGGAACGAAACAAAAGAGGAACGAAACAAAAGAGGAACAAAACAAAAGAGGAACGAAACAAAAGAGGAACGAAACAAAAAACGGGTGTGTAACCTATCAAGAACGCGGAATATCGACAACGCACCACATAATTAGCGCTGGCCGAATAACAGGGGACAAGGCTTGTAGGATAAGGTGAAAGCGACTAATTATACTTGTCGGAAACCACCTTGGGTGCTCTGATAACAGTACTTACGATTGACTTATGATAGGCCAACTCGTAGTCAAAGCGGACTGTGCACGTTTAGCAAAACATATAAGATGAACATTTTAGAAGGATCAGGGTAACAGAAAATCGCAAACGATCATCCTCCCAGCTGTACTCAATACCTTGCGTGTCCCCTCAACAGAACAGTCTTATTTACCCTGAAGGTTAGGCCCTTTCTATTGACTCTAACGTCCAATAATAACGGCCGCAGATGTGCAAGTGGAACGAATTGTTGTTTGCATGCGGGCATTTCGATCGATATGCTTTGGTGGAAAGACATACTCCGACCGCGACCTGTCAAGCATCTACCCAAACACCCCGGCAGGAGATCACCGCTGTCGTAGGGGAGAGCCTCTGCCCTGCGTGTAATTATCCATCTCCAGCTAGTACCATGTCCCCTTAGGTGAGTGATACTGCAGATTCTTCCATACTATTTCCCGATACCGAGTTTACAATGTGAATTTTTCAGGTGCGATTCTTAGTCCCCCACCTTTGCCGCTGAAAATTCAATTGATGGTTGATGAAGAACCGACGGTGCGCAACACCGGCACTATCAGAGCTTTGGGAAGCTCAATTAAACAAGCTTTTACGAGGACGAGGGGCCAAGGCATGTTGATTTGATTCATCTTTCTGCTCATTTTCAGTGGGAGCATTGTATGCGACTGGATGTGTACAGTACTGGCGTTGCAGTCGCATAGGGGAACTATCACCACCACTCCACGCTCGTTCAATAAACGTCTTTTTAGATATACAGTCCACCACTGTAAATGTAGTGTGGTATAATTTCTCAATTGCTAAACAAGGAAGTTGAAAATGCCGCGTGTTGACACATCATACGGTCGCATGGAAGGGTAAGAATTCTTCAAAGCTCAATGCATAAATTGTTGCCTAAGTTAAGCAACTGAACAGCATGAGTAATGTTCACCGCTTACTTTGGTCCGTGCACAACTCCCTTAGTTATAAATGCCCTTGAGACCTGGCAACGCCTGGTTTCCCAGACTCTTGTCAATTATTTCTTATATCACGTGAGATATTCGAAGGTGAAAGGCCATATCTACGCCTCATGGAGAATATAAACCAGGCTGTGTCCGACGCCCTTGAAACACATCCTTCAATCCGAATCCTAGGTGACCTGCCTACCGAAAAGCTGAACCCTGAAGACTATCTGGCCTCCACTCGTGAAATAATCAAAAGCCTCGTCGATTTCTGGGAAGAAAAGGCGGATTTGCGGCTTTTGGCGGTGGAGGTTTGGCCACGACACACCTACTTTGCACTCGATTTCAACAACGACGAGTACAACTATGCCAACGCCCACATTCAAGTGGTAGTCATACCTGTCTACCTGCTTCGGCTGTCCAGGAAAAGTCATACCTGGAAAATCTTTAGGCACATGCCCCAAGACTCATCGCTCGCCAAAAGAATTGCGGACCTACATGAAGGCAATGGGCAGGATCCCACTCCCTTCCTTGAAGACCACATCAAAGGCGTAACACATTATGCCCCTCGGAATAGCAAAAAGTCTACGTGAAAGAAAGGGCCCACCTCCACACCACGATTCAGTATTTGAGATCCTCATTATACTCGTATTGGGATCGCCAAGAGAACTGGATGTGATGGAAGGTTGGGAGCAAAGGTTCAATTATTGTCGAATATATGCGAATTTGCTTGCTATTGTCTCCTCGATAGTCAATCAAGAGACTTGCAAAGGAACTTGAAGGATTCATATCGACGATGTCAGTCAAATGAATTACACGGCGCGAAATACTGCGGACATGGACTCAACGAGTAGCGAGACCCTATCGTCAGCTGCAGCGCAATTTGCGATATTTTTCATTAAATATGTACAAATTATTCTCAACGCGTAATTTGATCGGTCGCCACTTGAGTATATAGATCTGCAAGAAGCAGTGCTCGGGTCTTCGGTGGCTATTGCGGAGGCTGAGGAAATTGTGTCATTTGCCATCCACTTATTTAGCAAATAAACCCAGACTCCCCAACAGTTCTGGGCCAATTTTAGAGGACCGTGGTGTGAGGGGCTAATTCAGAAGGGATCAAGGGAAGGCCAAGAATTATTCTGGACAATCACACAAAGCAAGCTTCGGCGTTGAAATAAATTGTCATCCTTCTATACATTTCTCTCAGTGTTCAACACACATACACCCGTAGCTACCACTGGGCGAAGATGCTGGGTAGGAATTCGATTGGCCCAGGGCACATCAAGCTGTAATGCCCAGAACCAGGGATCCCGAACAAGTCACCGGAATTCCCTCCTTCAAAGCACTCTCCCATACCAGCGACAAAGTAGTTCCGCATGCCTTCAGCATAAAAGCCCCAAGAGGGATCATTGATAGGGCATGGGGTGGTGATTTGGAAACCATGAACGGAAGACCATTCAAATGCGTTGTTTTCATAATGCCCATAAACTTGAAGGTCTGTAGCAGGCTCGGCCACAGATGACCTTTTTCGCGACCTCGGTTTGAACTTGTAGTCTGGGTATGCTGAGGCGTGGCTTTCACGCTCAAGCTGAGCTAGTCTCTGGTATTTCTCTCGGATATTTTGTGGTTCCTGATGCCAGCTCTTTCCCGCAATCGATGAGACCACTTGGGCGCTACGTTGGCGTGAACATCTTTTGATGCGCCCTGCATACGCCCAACGGTACAGCATGAAGGAGTTCATAGGTCGCGGAACCTTCCCCTTTCGTTCCGTCTCCTTCTTGCGCTCTTCAATCGGCCGGCACACCCACGTGTCTATATCGATAATCGGGACATCCGTCATATCTTGAGTCAAAATGCTCAGCGGTGCTATCATATCCCCCCATGAAAGGGCTCGACAATCTTTAGTAGACAGGCTACTGTCGCAGCCTTTGGGATCTGAGCGGGTTTTGCACTGTGGAGGGGACGATGAAATATGCCTGTCCGAAGGAATATCTGCTGTTGTATAAGGCATAACAAGCTAAAGGATTCCGACAAGATCTTGGGGTCTTATCCAGCCAAAGGCAACGATGGATAAAGCGGGTGGGTTGATCGAGTATTGACATGAAATGGTTCAAGTTGTTGTAGGTTGGCGGAAATGGAGGTCAACTGCAGAAAAGCCACCAGCCCGTTGCCTACAGGAGTCAGAGTCTGTAATGTGAGTCGTTCTATTTGTAAAAAGACTCACCGTTGGGTCGAACAGAGAGAGAAGTAAATTTGCTTTCTGGCGAGCAGAAGCAAATTCAGAAATGATAGAAAAGTTGATGAAAGCAGGCCATGCAGGTATTAAGGAAGAACTTGGCGAGATTCATGCAGAATCTTCAATGTTAACAACCTTGAATTTGCTTTGCGGCGTGCTGATGTGTTGATTTGTGTAGGGTCAGATTGGAATAGACTCCAGGGCCCACCACAGGACACGTAATAGTCCGCTTTGATCACAACAAAACTATGGTGGAAACTATCTGTGCCCTATGGTGGCCTTTGAGGCTAGAACTTGGTTCCTGGGAACATCTCAGGCCATTATGCCAAGATCGGACTTTCCAGAGGCGGCATGCGTCTGATCTCCGCTAGGGAGGCCTAGGTTCTTCAATTTCGTTTGAGTGGCTTGATACGTCATTTGTATGTAAATAATCAGTTCCACTTTGCGAGTCATGATACTGCAGTTACACCAGGCCGACCCTTTTCAGTATTCCCAGGTCCCTTTTGTAATAAAACTCTGTGTGTCTGTCTTCGCCTCCTTTTGTTCCTCGTCTGCTTCGTCTTGAGATATCAGACAAACGTTGATACTTGTGAAACCTTCATTAGACCGTCATCAATGTCGGATCGATTGAGGATAGATTTCCTGTTGAATAACCAGAAAACCCTCCGGCGTCAGCGTTGACGATCTTCGACAAAATTGATTCAAAGCCCTGAGAATACGAATTTAATTGCCGTGAGTGTTTTGGGGTCTACGGGCCAGTCAAGCGGCATCCACTTCGGGAGTTTTCAACACTCACATGTGCAATCTTGAAAGCCGCCAGCTCTTCCTGCAGGCACTGCCAAGCAAGCGGGCGTCAAACGTGGCAGAGCCCAAAACAAAAGAACGGCTCATCTACACCAAGGCTTTCGCCTCAAATACAACGACGAGGAAAATTAGTTTATCTGTTTTAGATACGTTGTTGATCACGGAGATGTTACCGCCCCTGGGAAATGGCAGTATGTACTTCACAGCTTCAATCAGAGATTACAGAACCACTAGCGCTGTGAAAAATAGGCGATCAAGAGCAACCTTTATCGTTTTGTCAAAAAGAAACGGCTGCCGGTTTTCCGGAAATAGAGTGACTTCCGTGAAGGGAGACCAGAGCGGCGAGACATTTCTCATCTGAGAAACGCGGAATTTATCCAGGATCATACCAATGTTTGCTATTCATGGATATGGAAGATCTCAAATAATACGATCAGTATGCCCAGTCTTGTGAACGCGTAATAATGTTGGATCATGGTCTTAATATCACAAACTATGAGGCCTTGTTCAATTTCATGGCATATGTGAGAAATGTGAGCTATTGAAAACAACCTTCATCCAACTTAAAAGCGAGGTTAAAATAAGACAGTGATCATAGACCACAGAAGGAAATATGAACGTGAAAGATTTGGTACAAGGTAGATTATAAATTTTTAAGCATACCAGAAAGATGCCTGTTGATTGCTGGCTCCGTAGTTTCCTGGTAGACGCTTGGCAAATGGCGGCAAAAGAAGACTGCCGCTTTATCCCTAATGGGGAAAACTCGCACTGCACACCGTGGCCCTGGCTGGTGCTAGCTGTTTCCGGGGCCCTTGTTGATTTGAAATCCACATGAGAAATTGTGACAATCTATAAGAGCGTCAGGGGCACTATTGCAAGGATTTTTACTCGAGTGGTGGGGTGGAATAGCTGCTAGGACAATGAGCTGCAGCGGATATGGGAGCATTCATGAACTATCCGTCTCGATACAAGCGCATTCAAAAAATGAAAATTACCATTAAATTGAAAGGTATCGTAATTCAAGCATCCGTGCGCCAAAGCACATCACTCTCAATCCAAAGCCTTAATATACAAAGAATGGTCCCTATTCCAGTAGTTCGTCCCTTCAATTGTGCATGCATCAGCTCAGTCTTTTCAATCCTCCGCCCTCTAAGTTTACTATGGCAAAAGATGAAACCAATATGGTAAGAGCAAACGGCTTCACTCATGTTACCATACTAAGATTGAATAAACAGATCCCCGAAGCAGTCCTCAAGATACCAGCCCAAACATCATTGATGGCTTTGCAGGTTTGGTGGCTGGGTACCCTGGACCTGGCGAGCGCAAGTGGGCGGTCACACGAACCTGATCCTGTCATCGAATCGCTAGTTATGGATTGCCAGATTCTTAGGAAGAACGGATACAGAAAAGGCCGGGAAAGTTTAGCCCAGAACGTCATTCTGAAGCGACATGTGCAGGAAATGGTGGAAGACCTCACCGACGACTCGCTCTTAATATTCGCAATTCTCACCTGGCACTTCAACGCAGATATGAGAGTGCCTCTCCCTCGTCAGCTCCTTCGATTCTTCGATAAACCCTGGGAAATCCTCGACGATGTTTGTATTGACATCCACCGCACATACACGACAATGGCCAAGTCGGAGTCAGTAAAGAGCTTTAAAAGAAGATTTGTCGAGCTACTAGGGCTTGTAGAGCTTTTTGTGGTCAAGGGGAAATGGGTCTTGTATATTTAGATTGTCGATTGCAATGTCGAATTGTGCTCTCGTCGTTTAGGCAATCCATAAGGAACTATTATTCTCACCCAAAGAAGTGTTTCTTTCTACTAAATCGAAGATTACCCTGAGCCATATTCTACGTATACCGCCACGGCTTTAATTACACTGTTGCCCTGATGATGTCGTTCTTCATTCACTCCTCCATGTACATAATTTAACTAGCGTTCAATTTTATTCAATTCCCTATCTTCCATTCTCTCAGTATAACAGTTTCCTTGTATGTAGCGTCATATGGCGTGAATTCCGAGCCTGTCTCCTGGTTAGTCTCTCGTATGAATCATAGGGACAAGCTTGACTGATCTGAACTCACAGGCAGAGCTTTTAGCTTAATCTTTTGGTTCTTGTGCCTTTGACTCAACAACTGAAACTTTGTTAGAGCCCTTGGTTATCCTCAACCAATGTCAAACACTCACACACCTTCCATAGAAGGACCTCATTGACCAGAAAAAAAGGGGGCAAAGGTATTGCGGCCTGGTCCATCTTTCAAGCTGAGAATCAATTTCCATCCAACAGCTCTTTGATAGCATTGGAGAAATTCTGGAAAGTCTTTTCGTTTGGTCAACCCAAGCCCCCGGTGTGTGTCATCGCCTTTGTCTCGGCAGTGGCTTCCGATGGCTGGCACATTCTTCAAGAGCATGAGACACTCTGGACACATATAATCGTATCCTGTTACAAGAAGGCTTTCCCGCAGGATTGCAAACTCTCTGTCCATATTATAACGGCGAAAATTGAAGAGCTAAAGACAACACAGAGTAGAAGTAGAAGATGGAAGGCCTGCAGCTCCAATATTGCTCTTATAGTAAGGGGTCCTAGCAGGGATTAATGGTAGACCTTTTAATTGTCCAATTATGTTTTCATACTCATCAGCGTGGCATGAACATGCAGCGTCCCTCCACTGGCCCAGCTTTGCGGGCCTGTTTGAAGACTTGGAACACTCGTTATCTAATTGGGACACAGCGCCTTGCAGCACTCGGGACTAGCGGTGGAGATCAACGTATCAAGTAGGGCATTTTCTACTGTGTCTTGGAATAGATAATATAAGCAAATATCCCAATACGTACATTTCCAATTTTTTTTGTCTTGATCTTCGTTCAAGTATAGCCTATCAATTTAACAGTATCCTCTTTTTCTCCCGCAGGGTATTCCAATCCTCTTCACATATCAGGCTCTGAGCCTGATGGATCAATCCGGGTCTTTTAAAGCTCACGGTCTCAGGTGCTTGGAATATTTTTTGTAGTTCAAACCCTACAGTCTTTGTTGTTCCATCAATGCATCGAGCAGTAAACTTCAGACACACTTGGAAGCTGGGAATGCATGTGAATAGACCCAGATACTTTATGAATACATGCACATCAACGAGATGATCATCCAGGGTGCTTGCCCAAGAATTGGATTTTACGAGTCTGTCCATTGATTAGCACGCCAAAGTAAGAGTCAAGCTAAGGAGTTGGCTTACTGCCGCAGATGATTCGACGCCATAATTTGACGCTCTTTTGGGGGGTTTCCGGTGGTGTTCGAGGATTCAAGTACGTGCCTATGGACTCGCGACTCGGCTTATATATAAAACCAATCGGTGCGGGCTGTGTGTCAACAGGTTGAGGTGTAACAGTATGACGAATGGTATGTGCATGCGCTTCAGATAGAGAGGCAGCTCGTTGGGGAGAATGAGCGGATGTGTCGGCACTCTGGTTGATATAACCGTGCGTCTTCTGAGGATGAAAGTCTGCTGAGGTGGGAACAGAGTTTCGAGGGTACTCTGGAGTTGCAAAAGACTCGATGGAGGGATTGTCATGGGTTGTAGTGAATATGAATTGGAAAGGGGCGATTGACTCTATCAGCTGGCTGAAGAACTTCATGGGACAAGATTCTGTTTTTTGCGCTTGATACTGTACGTAATAAATTCAAGAAAGCCACCCTCGTTGGAGATTCAGACAGTCATTACATACCAATGTTACGAGATCACATTTCAGTTCTATATAGTCATTAAGACTTTAAGGTTTCAGGAGCTTCTGCTTTATCCCTTTGCTTGTAACATCGGGCCGGGTTGTTCAGAAGAATTGCTTATGCAATGGGCTATTCACTAAATCGTACCAATGCCCCGGATGATACCCTGACCACCAGCATTGGCTATGGTTATCCAACTTCAAGTATTGATGAATAGTGTTTCCTTCAAGATGATGATCAGATAGATTGGCTTTTTAATGGGGTCAATGTGAGATTTTGGTCGACGTGCTGAGTATTCTGACTCCATGGTGTATCAACCTTGACTTCCAGCCCCCGGTGAGACAATAAATCTGGAAAAGGTGGCCTGAAGCGAAGCTTGGGAACAATATTAGTGGATGTACCTTCACATCAAGTCACATCATATTACTTCATATCACATCACTTCACTTCACTTCACTTCATATCACATCATTGCACTTCACCTTAATTTTTATTACATTATTTCACATTATTTCACCTCACATCAAATCACCACACATCACTTCATATCACTTCACTTCATATCACTTCACTTCATATCACTTCACTTCATATCACTTCGCTTCATATCACTTCACTTAACTTCACTTTAATTTAAATTACTTTATTTTACTTCATTTCACCTCACATCATTTCATTTCACTTTACTTCACTTTAGTTTAGTTTAGTTTGCATTACAACATTTCACAACTCGAACTGCTTCGAATGGACGCAAGGCCGACGTAGGTATACCGCACCAAAACGCGAATTGGGTCAAGTTCCTCGCCAGAGGGAAGGTTCCATGTTGATACCAAAAAAGACTATCCATTTCGTCAGTCAAGGCAAGATCCAATTTACCAAGCCCGGTCAACCTACATCAACTTGGGGCGACTGATTTTGGCAGTATTATGGCGAGGCTTCGTTTTGTCGTCACGTGATTAAAATATCTCGTGTTGATTGTGCACGCCCCTACCCGATATTATTGATAAGTTTTCATATCACGTAACTACATCACGTGGATAGAGTATTTCAACTAACGGAGGGGCATGCGCCACTCGTACCCCTCGATTATGTCATGGTTGGGGAAAAAATTCTCCTCTTGGGCATCAAAGATCATCTCACATCAACTTATTAATGAAGATATATTTTGGTTCCCTTCTATATTACATTTAGCAGCATTGCGTTCTTTGCTTTCTCCCAGCGCAAGCACCATCGTCTTCAACACCACACCAACTTGAAATCCGGTCGGTATGGTACCCTTTTTTCACGCTCTATTTCGTTCGTTACTAATAAGAAATCGAGTCTTTGAAAGATAAATCTTCATTCCAATCAAAGCCGAGGTTCTCAGCGGAGCGCCAAAAATCATCACTGGTAATTGCAAATGAGCTCGTTACGGAGTGAAGATGAGAAGAACAAGTTGCGGGAGCATGCTGTGGCAATGGTACAAGCCCCAACAACTCACCCAGTGCCTGATAACACATTAACGCAATCAGATGTCAGGAAACGACAAGGTTCGAATCGCGCCTGCGGAAACTACCGGCGAAAACGATTTCAAGTATGAACAATGGCCAAATGTGTGTGCAGTCGTGGTTGATAAGGGTAGCGGACGAGGGTATGCGCAGATAACTGGAGGTGGCGAGGAGGTGCATGCTATCTATACGGGCCGTGGAGAGACTGGTTATGCTTTAGCAAACATCTCCCATGGTCAGTCATGTATGCTGTATGGGTATCCCACAGTGCTGTATATTTATCCTTGTTCCTGAACGGCTTCAACAGGCATCATTCTTTCCTGTGTCTTTTCCACAACAAATTTGATGAGGGCCTGGCACACCTCGCGCGAAATCTCGATCGCAGGTTGTTCGTTGATATTGTCCGGTATCCTGATCATAAATGATCTATGCGTTCCGGGGTAGCTTCTCATGAAATCAGCGAGATCTGTCTCTTGAAGAACTGTTCGGTAGGCGGCATCATCTAATTTGTCTCAGTATAGGGTTTAGGGCAGACGGGGTTATTCTGTGTCGCTCACGTATGGCTTTCTTCCTTGGTAAGAGAGCATAATAGTGTGTAATTGCATATCTCAGCCCTTTTGGACACGTCTTGTCTTTTCTCCAATCCATGAGGCCGCGAAGGTAATCTTGTGATTTCAGACTGCCGATTTGGGTAGGACGGGCTGACAATGCACAAAGAAAAAAAAGTTCTTCGCTACACTCCAAAACATCATTGAGGATTGTGCGTGCCCGCAATTTGGGAACATTTCGATGAATCGTCGAAGGGTCCGTTGCAACCAGCCGCGAGCATCTTTTGATATTGTCCACCTGATTAGTGGTAAGAGGCACGAAAATATCCGAGAATTGTCTCCAAGTTGTATCGATCAGATTGAGCAATCCCTCAGGCGATAGTTGAGCCATTATGAAATTTTATTAAACAGGGGAGGAAACAGAGGGTAGTTGAAGTGAAATGAAGTGAAATGAAGTGAAATGAAGTGAAATGAACAGGGGAGGAAACAGAGGGTAATTGAAGTGAATTGAAGTGAATTGAAGTGAAACGAAGTGAAATGAAGTGAAGTGTCATTTAAAGTGGAGTGATGTGATGTGATGTGATGTGATGTGATGTGATGTGATGTGATGTTATGTTATGTTATGTTATGTTCATTGGCCAATGCTAGCCGATCTACACAGCTCTAAAACAAGTAACAGGGTCAACAACAACCTGATACAGAAGCTCGATCCCTAGTTTTTTGAACCGAGCGTAGCTAAACCCTGACCTTGTACGGGAATAGGTCATTGTTCACTTTTCTAAGCGGGCCGAGCAAATACTAGGGCCAAATTGTACAGCTTACTGGGGAACTCAGACTTGCAGGGATACTGTGTAAGCATTGTGTTCTTCGATAAAAACTCTATTCACTTCATTTCACATTAATTTGCTTCATGTCAATCTAGTCGCGTATCTCTTTGGTTCGCTACATGACACGGTTCCCCTCTTCAACTGATGAGATTCGACGCATGCATGCTGCCAATCATCTCACAGATGCTCTGAGCATGGAGGAAACGCCTTGGGTGGGGCTGGTCCATGCTTTTCACATCCACAGCGCACGGATAGGGGACCTTGGACCCAATTGAGGTTTTGCCGAAGCCTAATGATCAACAAAGCCACTCAGTAATATCGATTGATTGGTGCTCGTGAGCCATAATTAGCGCCAAATGTAGGGGCCATCACCCTCGAGTTAACAAGGAGGCAGACTCAGTAATCCCTTATACACCCGTCAGCAACAATCCGATGCTCACAAGTCTACACTTAGTATAATGAACTCGCCTGATGTTATGCCCAGGTACCCTGTCATGTCAGTTACCCCGCTTTCTTGGTGTATAAAGAGCGCGAAAGTAACGATTGTCTCTTGAATATCTCAAGAATCGCTCTCGTGGCTTTCTTTCTTATTATACCTGGTCGTCAGACTACCTACTCTGCCCGGTCTCTATTGAATTTGGATTCTCAAACTTTGATCGCTAAAGATCACTTCCCTGAACCGCTCCTCTCAAGCGTATACCTAATTGCTAGGGTCCTTAAGAGTACAGTACTTGTGCCCTCTATTGAGGATCAGTGGTCTCCCAACTAATACATGTATAGTCCCCGCCTTCATCATGACTTCTGAATCCGACATAAGCCATCCCGTGGACGCGATCAAATGTTGCACCTGCGGACAGGAGAAGAGCATGGTCCATGCAGATTGTGGGGCTTGTCCTTCTTGCTGCAATTGCTCCAAGAAAAAGGACTGAATGATCGGAGGCGGGAGAGTGAACAACTGCAATTTTTGAACTGTTACTGAAGCTGCTTGACCGACACCAGTCGTGAGGATTCTCCTGAATGATGGCTCCGTGGGCTCCCTGAAATAGTTTACGAAATCCACCGCAGCACATAAGGGATGGGAGAGACCAAGAATTATACATATTCATAAGATTTTCGTTCTGAATTCATCTCATTTTTCCGATCGTTTGTGATCCACCGTGATTAGATATAATATTACATGAACTCAGGCCCCTTGCGCATTCGGAGTTTGTTGGCGCCTACAATACAAATGTAGTCCCTTCAGCGCAGAGCATATTTCAACGTCATCAGAATGGCTTGGAAGGCTATAGGCGTCATAACCCACCCACATTTGCCTTGTTCTCGGAGATTCAGCATCTGCCAATGGTTTTCTGTGGGGTGCCAAGGTTAGACAAATTCGAGGATCGATAAAAGCGAACTTACTCATTGCCATTGAAGACTTCAAAGCCAGTGGAAATTATGAGCGCAGGCCGAGCAAGATCGGCGATAATCTGCTTGACTGGGGCGGCAGCAAAGGGTGATATTATGATCGATTCCTCGTCAATTTCAGCGAATCCTCCTGCACCGTGAGTTCCAACAATTTTGAACTCCTTCTTAGTTAGGATCTCTTCCGCGACCTCTGTATAATCTGGGTCCTGTGCAAGTAATGGCAATTTTTTATTGCCACAACAAAGTTGAGCGATAGTGAGAGCCATCGAATGCTGAATCATGCTACCCATGACATTTTTTACCTCAGAGTCCTCATCCCAAGAGCCGTGCTGCCTTTTTAGCCATTCAGGCGCGGAGCGGCAAAAATCACCGAGCCCGAAGCAGAGAACTTTCTTCACAGTGTTTGTACCGAGTATATCTTGGACCAATGCTGCCAAGAGCTTGCAGGTCTTGCTATTTTGCCACAACAATTGTTTCTCGTCAAAGACTTGCATAGGTTGTGCTAGAAGCTCTCGGAAGTTTCGTGCTGTCTGATTGCTCCAATCCACAATGTATGAGCACAGGTAAGTTTCAATTGGACCGTTGGGTTGTGCTTTCACAAGTTGCCAATATTCTTGGTACTTGACATGAGGTTTCCTAGGGAAAAGTTAGATTGCAGGCTGGAATTGAGTCAGAATACCATACCCACTTACCAGATAGGATTTGTTACTTGGAACATGGGATTGGAAATTTGGATTATGCTTCCATCGATTCGACGGACTGAAAATCGCTCCATCGCATAGGATTGGCGCAATTGTTGTTCTATGTCTTCGAGAACTTCTTTTGTCCAAAGCCTGGTACCAGAACTGTACAGATCTGCGGCTATTTGGCTACTGATCCGCCAATCCGTGCACCCGTAGTCGAGCGGTCTCAGAGTTTGTGGCATGGTCTCGTAGCTGCTGATTGAGTAGAGGTGAGGGGAAAAAACCCCTAGATTGTTTGGAAAGGGGAGAAAATTATTCGTGTACAAGGATCGGAAAGAAAAGGCTAGGACTGAGCTTTGATACTCGATGGTTGTTTGCTTTTGTGTATGATGGGTACAGTGTCGGATACAGTGACGACGTTTGCTTTGAGGGATCAAGAAAAAATCGGCCCCTCTGCTGCTGACTACTCACCTAACTACTTAAGTACTAGTTTGATAGTTAGGGTAGGTAAGGGGGTCAGGAGAAAAAATCAGGCTAGAGGAAGAATAAAATACCGATCACCGCTTTACGGCGGCCCTGGTCTGGGTCATGCCACCAAATACCGTACAGCCTTGTACCCTATTATCAATCGAGACGAGCCCCTCACCCCATTTCTCGACATCATGAATTGCTGATAGGGCGTGTCCCCGTAATTTGTCGTGCAACGCTCTGTAGCACGGTTTGACCTATCATATTTCTGAGCAACCTGCCCCAGTAGAAATACGGATGGGTCAAGTAGGTAATTGCTTTTTATATGGTCAATATATCAATTAAACGCGTCGTGTGTTTTACTGCTTACTGTTTCCTTGCCCCATCGATAAATTTGCTGATGCCTGCAGTGCAACCATTCCAAAAAGGGGGATACTTGATGGCAAAGGTGCTTTGGATGTATCCATGTCTAGTCCAATCGAGGATCCCGGTCGGATCACCAAACTCAGCTCTCATTTTGATGCGAGTGGATGATCTACCATCAGGCGGTCACTAGCAGATATCCCACGAACCCTGCAACTGCCAACAAATCTAGGGCCCTTGTTTCAAGACAAAAGTTAGTCTCACTGGTTGGACAGCAATGAATATGTAAGCCGCACGGCCTCGGAAATCTCAAACAGGGGTCCCAGGAACGTGAGATAGCTCAGCTGCCTATTGATTAGTGAATACCTAGGTAACCAAATGGCTCCGCCTAAATTATGTCATCAAAGGCGGTAACAATCCCTACGTTATTCGACCCCTTTTCACACCGCTCTGCGCCAAGTTTATTTCTTCTTTCTCATCAAGACCAAACATTTTCTTGTTATCTTTATACATAACCTGCTTGAAGTCCCAGATCTATTATTTTTGCTCCCAATCTATCTATGTACAAGATATTCAGCTACTTAAACAAACTTTGAAATCGCGAATTGCTTTGTGGGGCTGCGATTATCACTGACTCGGCCAGGTCGCGGTCAAGCAAATTTTCCGCCAGAGATGTTCTCAATAACACCTTTACAACTAACTGAAAATTGGACGGTTGACTGCGAATAGTCAATAAACAGCCAGCAATTGTTAGTGAATAAAAATTCAAGAACAAACGGTTGAGCACGAACGGTTGAGCACGAACGGTTGAGCACGAACGGTCGAGCACAAATGATCGAGCACAAATGATCGAGCACAAATGATCGAGCACAGTCGTTTAAGAACAGTCGGTTAAGAATAAAAAAGGACGTGAGTGAAGAAGTGATGAACGGTCGAAGCAAGGGCAGATGTCCCAATAACATCCAAGAATCCTCCTCCATACTGAAAATGGCCTTGATAGACTAGCGCTTTGTCTCATACCGAGCCTATCATGAGTTTATCGCTTATCATTTGTCTGGACATTATCCGTGGGATGAGAGTACGAGCCAATATCTCCATTTGCAAAGACAGCCTTCGGATAGACCTTTAACTTCACTGCTCTGCTGTAGATTCGTTCGCTAGTATTTCATAGAATTGATGGATAATCACTTGGGCGTATACTGACTGTTCCGCGCGGATTGACGTGCTTTCGCGGATGACTCGGGTCCATGTAAGCTGAAAAGAGAATAATAAGATTACACGAGCCGTCGGGTGGAATCAAAAATGTAACTAAGAACACTATGCCATTCTGTCTGATCGGCAGACTGTTAGCAAATATCATCATTGATCTCAAGTATTTGAGGAAACACCAAATCCAGACTTCGAGAATCAACTTTGTCCCTGTCAGTCTGCATGAAAAACCTTGGAGATTATTGTTGGATACATACCTCGCATATGAAACCGCGTCAATGAAATTATACAGTCGGATGCGAAATCAGCTTCCACCCTGTCGATTGCTTTTCTTTTGCTTGGCCCCACTGCCAAGGCATTAGCGTAAATCATTTATTGGTCGGGGCCTCAGAAGTTGAGGGCTGTTATACTGTGCAGTGAATGGTACTGTACTAAAGTGCTGGAATATTACACATCACGCCTTGCGTTTTCAACAATGAACGTGGGCTGGGTTAGTATTAGATAAAGCGTATTTTACGCGTGCCCTCAACTGAGTGCAGTCTAGTCAATAAAACGTCAGCACTAAGACCTTGGCAGTGGGGCACGGGAAATGAAAAGCAATCAACAGGGTGGAAGCTAATTTCGCATCCGACTGTATACAAATAGGTTTTAATAAGTATACAGATGATCCTCTTTACTTTAGTCACTTATATGAAATTATTCTTATATACATGTCCAGCGGCACAGCGATATGTAGACAACAGCAAGCCTTACTAATTCATTTCTTTACACCAACAGCCACCTGGGCTGCAAATTCCAGAGGTCATGGAACGTTTGATGTCGAAAAGCACATGAAGGGATGTGGACCAATTAGAAACCAGAATTTTTCTGGACGATCTCCAGAATCTTATCTTATCCTCCGAAACATGCAGGTTGGAGGGCATTTCCATCCTCTCCACATTGAGCTTTGACCTCGGCTCCTTTCTCCAGCAGCAACTGCACGATCTTATCGTGTCCTCCATAAGACGCAGCTTGGAGAGCATTCCCGAAGTGTCCACCTTGGGCGTTGGCCTCGGCTCCTTTCTCCAGCAGCAACTGCACGATCTTATCGTGTCCTCCCGAAGACGCAGCTTGGAGAGCATTTCCATATCTTCCACCTTGAGCGTTGACCTCGGCTCCTTTCTCCAGCAGCAACTGCACGATCTTATCGTGTCCTCCCGAAGACGCAGCTTGGAGAGCATTTCCTAAGTCTCCACCTTGGGCGTTGACCTCGGCTCCTTTCTCCAGCAGCAACTGCACGATCTTATCGTGTCCTCCATAAGACGCAGCTTGGAGAGCATTCCCGAAGTGTCCACCTTGGGCGTTGACCTCGGCTCCTTTCTCCAGCAGCAACTGCATGATCTTATCGTTGCCTTGGAGAGACGCAGCTTGGAGAGCATTTCCATATATTCCACCCTGGGCGTTGACCTCGGCTCCTTTCTCCAGCAGCAACTGCACGACTTTCTCGTAACCACGCTGGGAGGCCGAGATAATAGGATTGGTTCCAGTGCTATCGGTCGAATCAATATCCTTCCCACTAAGAGAAAGTAGAAACTCAACCTCCCGCTCATGCCCGTTAAATGACGCCAGATGTAAAGCAGTCATCGACGGCGGAGCTTGATAAGCCTCGATGGTCTTCCAAAATATGGGGAACCACAATGAAAATGCTTTCCCACTCATCTCGTACATTTTCTGAACTTGACTGGCCGCTTTTTGGTCTTGGGTCAGACTCATCTTCCGTTTGTGGTCCGGCCAATATACTGCTGAATAATCAAGAAAGTTTCGAGTGATAGAGTCTGGATCCTCATCATCGTGCTCCACGTCCTCCATCAGTAAGTATCGCAAACAGATAACAGCCATTTGATCCTCGGTGTCCGTCAGGCTCCACGAGTATAAATAGTTGATACTATTCGAGTTACTCTTCTTAACAAGAAATTCTCTGGCTGTCTGATGAATCAAGTAGATCTTGGAATTGTTGATGAAAACAAAAAGACCACATAATCGACGCAGCTTTTGGTCAATCTGAGATGATCCAAGTCCAGCCGTTGCTGCAGTTTTCGCTTGTGGGGAGGTGGCTATACCGAGCGCCATGGCCATTTCTGCCGTTGTCAAAGGGCGCCGTGCTGCAATGATGATTTGTAGGATCTTTCTCGCAATGTTCACTTGACGGAAGGGCACTCGACTAAGAATCTTCTCGTATGCCGCATCTACCGATTTAGGTATCAACTCGATCTCCTCCTCTGTCGGGCGAAGGCTGTTCTCGAATGAAGATCGAATATCGTCAATGGCTAAATGTAGCCAGAGATACGTACGGTGCTCCATTTGCAGAAGCTGTTTCTCGAGTCGCTGCTCTGTGTCCTGTGACAACGCGGCTCTTTCTGTAAGCTCCTTGACTCGCATCTTTACGACAAGATCGATTTCTTGATGGATCTGATCATTTTCTTCCTCCCCTTTCAGATGGAGGTGTGGGAAACAGTTGGTGATTCCTCGGAAACTGTTCTGGATTTCGTTATAGGGGCGACTGGTGACTAGGTATTTTAACCAGGTACCCTGTGCCTGCGGATGCGGCAGACGGTGAAATGACTGGAGCTTCTCAATGAGTCGATTCTGATCAGTCTCACGGCATTCATCAAGTGCATCGAATATGCAGATTGTCTTGCACAATTCATCAGACAATACAGCGATTGTGAAAATTCTCCACAGTTCGTCAATCTCTTGCCGGAGCTTCTCTCCATTTTTTTCCCAAGACGGTATAGCATGACGCAGGAGCTGAGGTCGTTGGCTAAAAAGCTGATGGAGTACTGAGCAAAGTGCTAAAGCAAGTTGATTCTGTTCATCGTTGTCTTTGAAGAAAAAGTAACAGATTGACACTTCTGGACAAGAACCTTGTACGCAGTCGTCGATTATCGATCGGGAAAGTACAGACTTCCCACAGCCTGGGTCGGCCGACACCCAGAGAAGATCGTTGCAGCTGCTCTCTGACCAACGGATATATTCGGCGCTCTGTAAAGCCCATAGGCAGGTTCCTTCCATTTTTTCCGGATTGATGTTTTTCTGCTGCTCATAATTTGATACCTTGAATGTTTGATGACAGCGGTGTTGTTGGTCTGTCAAAGCAAACGCGACCTTCTCACGATGGTGTTGTTCTTGTTGACTGTATGCTTGATCTAGGCGTTGGTTTGTGCCTTTGATTTCGGTCTTCAATCCGTCTACATAGAGCCGTATAAGTAATGCACCCTTCATTCAGGATTAATTGAGCTGGGGTTAATCTTACTTACTGCAGATATCTACTACCAAGCTCTCTTGTGAAACTCGACCAACCGGCACATAGCCCAGTAGCTCTTTTGTGTATGCGGCGGCTGCCAGGGCAGCATATCCCTGCCATTGCTTGTTCTTGTGCGAGTCGGCATAATCACAAACACCGCGGATGACAACGCAGGGGAAGTCCAACATCAGACCAGCTGCCTCCATCTCGAAGCACAATGCCCCAGTCTCTAAACGAAGTTGCTCTCTTGTCGACCCGTGCTTGATGACCTTATTACCAGATGCAATAATACCATAATGGGGCTGTGGATAGTTGTCCTCGCGTTCACCTCTGGTCTTTTCCCACTCCGCTAGACATTCATCACAGCTGTTCGCACTCGCAGGATGATCATGTTGCGTCTGGAAGAGTCGATCGGAATCCGCAGTAGGTCGGCCAAAATTCTTCCGAGTTCGAGCTGTTCTTTCGATTGCGTTTTGGAGATATTCCGGGTAGTGAGGATCATCTGTCAGTCCGGCAGCTCTCATTATGCCAACAGCAGTCAAAAGCGCCCTCGGGGGACTGTTCAGCGAGCCAGTTCGTTCAAATTCACCGTCGGCAATAATCTTGCCCATATCGTATTGAATGACCCCACCACAGGTGCCTTGAGGGTAGCTAACGACGACATCACCGAGGCGGATATCGTCAGCAGCTGACGGGATTCCACCCCCAACACCGACCATCAATCCGATCCGAAGTGACTTGGAGAAGGTGCGAAGCATGTTGTTTGCGACCGTAGTAGCAGAGGTGGTTCCGTACTGGCCTCCGGGGAGGCAGGCGATCACGACGTAATGTTTGCCGATTCGGCCCAACGTGTAGGTGTTCGAGTCCGCTGCATCTTGCTCCTCGAGAATCCCAAAGTGCTCATCCAGCATTTCGGCGGCGGCTGCAGCCTCGATCGGAAGAGCACAGATCCAGCCAATTTGGAAAGCATCTCGCGGAGGATAGGCCATGAAGAGGTTCTAGCGCGGTTTCACGAGAGAAATAGTGTTTCGACGAGAATATCACGAAAGGCTGATTAGCGACAGAGCTTAACGAGTCATCTACTGCCCTACAAAAGAAGAGCCCCATTGCAAGGTAGACACCAGCAGCCCCGCCGCCAGCAGTACAGGCTCGCCTGGGCTGAAGGCGGAGCAAGGGCGGCAATAGAGCGAATGCTATTGGAGAAAGCGACTAGCACGTAGCTTGGGGAGCCGCACGTGACAACGTGGTCCGTGACCAACTGACGTGGCACGACAGACGGAACCCGTCAACAATGGTCGCTCCACCAATATCCGGTCAACTTGATATGCATACAGACCTTCCAAGTTCCATGGTATTCCATGAGAGCGGATCGACCGCTATTCCTGATTGGGACTAGATATCAGAATTCAATCTTGAGGGCCCTCACAAATTTACTTCTTTTGCCATGCCGGCACAGAATGTCACGATGACGAAAAATCTTTCTTTCTGGGGGTGGAGGGGGGGGGGGGGGGGGCGCTCAAAATGCCAGGCACGCGACGATGCAGTATGGGCCACCACATCAACTCTCATATCGTTTGTTTCCGTGTTGATGCTCTTTTACAATAAATTATACATAGTTGTTTTTCAAAGAGCCCACGGTCAGTAAGTTGAAGGCCGCATGATGGGTCTTCAGCAGCTAATCATTCTATAGGATCACAGTCACGTACATTATCCAATACCCACCCCTGATGAAAGGACAAAGAAAGCAAGTTCGTAATATTTGATAATAATACTACCGTAACTCTGCTATTTGATACCAAACGTTACGTCATGTGGCAATTACATTACTGTTGTCTGTTAAATAATTCTACAGACTAGTTCCTTGGCGGTGGGGCCTGAGAAAAGAAAAGCAGTCATCAGGGTAGAAGCTGTTTTCGCTATCGACTGTATCACATCAGGTTGCCTTTTTATTTTGTGGACAATAATCATTACAGTACAGCTCAATTGCAAAAATGACGTGTCTAAGCCTGCGTCGGCTTGAATGATTATTTTTTAGAAAATTGTCATTTAGCATATGACTGAATAGTTCATACCAAGTAAGACGAGGGCCTAGGCAAATACCGTTGTATAATGCAGTTATGTTACCGAACTGACCTTGTTTCATGTATCAAAAAAATAAAGTCCACTGTGGCTGGCCTGTATTAAAACGGTGGCTGTGCTGGCCCATTTCAGACTTGTAATTACTTTACAGAGAGAGATACCGATGTCGTGTATCCATTACGCGCCAAAGCAGCCATGACGAAGCGCGAAAATGATATCGAATTACAGTATAGTAATAGTACTTGAGGCGGTTTTGATTTCGACTATCGGTGTATTACCACATTTCGCATCGAGTACAGACGTTCATTGCTCTATTAAACACGTCCCGGTCTTTGCGTAAAATCTCATTGGAATGGCAATGATGGTCACCTCGGTCGCAAGCTCCCGGGATCGAGAGATGCCATAGCCTGATGCCATAGACTGGGGATTCACGGACAATCTCTGGTCAAAGCAATGTAATTTTTCAAGCATGTAGACAGATATGCGGCTTCTTTTGGTCTTCGAACTCATAATACACGCTTGCGCTTATAGCCAATTGCCTGACAATATCATGCAGGGTTCTTTCGTTCGATTGTAGTTGAGTAGTTAACTCCTGAAGTTACTAGAAGAAGATATGACGGTCAAATTGTTGTGAAAGACGGCCTCGAAATTCTGGTGAGACCTCGCTTTTCTTGCTGCATTGTTGTCCTATACAGTAATTTGAATCTAAAGAGAGACGAAATTGGCATTAGCGATTTGGACTGGGGAGAGAGTTGGAAACATCTTCACGCTGCAGATATAGAACTTTTAGTTTTTTTGAAAAATCCGAGGCTACATGGGGCGTATACGTCCCAATTTGGTAGAAGAAATCTGCAGACGCGGTGGCTTGCAATACATACAAGATAAACTTGTGCCGGATTTACAAGGTCCGGCAGGTTTCTGCAAGAAGCAAGAAAATCTGGGAGTATGTCATAGCGCAAAGACTGCCAACCTTCGTAGGCATTTAATAATGCTGGCTGACGTATATTTTTCGTACAGTATAGATTCCAAGAGCCAAAGAGAAGAGAAACGATCAGTCCACAATTGGAAGCTTGCCGTGATGATGTTGTCCCAAAAGCGAGCTTTCCATGTCAGACTGGATATTGCGTTTTCTTGATTGTTGGCAAGATCTCACTCTCCACAGCTAACCCTGCGTTTGTCTTCTGGTCAGAAACCATTGCTGGTGAAAAAGATCAGTCAGCCGGTCGTTATTCGAGGAGAGGAGGGGGGGGGGGGGGGGGGGGGGGGGGGGGGGGGGGGGGGGGTGCTTGCGTGCGAAGGGGCTCAGTATTTACGCACAAATCGGGGTTCTCCATCGTGCATCTGGTGCTTTCCCATAGGTGCGGCAACAAACGCACTTCCATGTCATTAAAGAAAAACGAAGCAAGATCATTACCGTCCAACTTCTTGCGCATGATACCGTCATTCAGGTAGGAAGTAATCTTTTCGTGAGTGTTCTAGGACTCATTCTAGGACTCATTCTAGGACTCAAAGCCAGCATTCTCGCTGAGAATGATGTCGTAATTCATTATTGAGCCTGCTAGACTCTGGTTGAGCTCATGGTGATGCCAATCTCTCCAAGGCAGTATGAGTATGTATGGCGGACAACCAACGACGGTACAGCCCTGTCAAGTTGGAAGCGCCGGGTGTATATTCGGTGGCTATAGGAGCTTCCCGATAAGTGGAGATGCTTCGCTGTGTGACTCAGGTGGTGAAAGTAATGATACCGACCGGTTTGGGGTCGCGAAAGGTAGGACTGACTCTCTCTCTAAGTACTATTAGTTAGTATGGACCAAGGAAGCCAAGGGGTGCGAAGATCGAACTCATGGTGAGATGCTCAACGCAGAGCTTTGCTCTGCTCAAGTACAGACGGAAGAAGGAAGTTGAAGTTCTTATTCAGGAGAAGTGAGTCAATATATAGTCCCTTTGCGTAATATCACTTCAGGCAGAATTGTGAGACGGGTAGGAGTGGGTGCTCCTGGGAGTTCTGAGTTCCCCCTCTAGCTCAAAGTACATGATTGGCTGAGAAAATTGCTTGTGAGGCTCATACCTGGTATTCTACCAGTCTCCTGGGAGCGTGTGGTGGTCAATCAACCTTATTCAACAATAGCGAAAAAGGATTGACAGTATATGCTCGAAAAGGCCTTCTCATTTGTGCACTTGTTTGAAAGAAGAAATATCGAACTGATCCATATCGTTGCTGTACTGAACATGAAATCCCTCGATTTGTTTTGTTACAGGACAATATTGTAGACCTCTCGAGTAGATTCGCAAACTCACCATCGTCCTACCAAAGGTTCGAGCCCGAAGAGTCATTGTGGGGCAAATTAATGAAATGATCCTGGGATCAAAGCTGGAAGTGGGAGGTCGGAGGTCGACAGGTCTAGAGCGAACGGTCGCATTGACGACGCAATTTTTTTTTGATGGGACAATGGGGGTGATCTAGAGAAAAGCCGCACGTGATGTGACTAGCGTGTTGCATTTTATTGATGTAGCTCAGGCCGCTCATACTTACGCTCAGCCCATGCT